TCCATCTTATGAGGCCCGTTCTTTGTTAATAAATCTGAAATCTCTTGCCTCAAGGCGTATAATTCACTCACTTATGTTTATCGATGATATTGTCTGTGGTCTCATCAATTGTCCTGAACTACTGGAGCAGATTTGTTTTAATATTCCCCAAAGGGTATTGCATTTTCACTTTCCGTTGCGTGTTAAAATTTTCAAATCAAATTATTTAAATTATGCACCCATTACTAGGTCTCTTAATGAACTTAATAGAATTTTTAATAGTCTTGATCTTGATTTCGCCCATCCTAGATCTCTTTTTTTATCTAAGCTGGAATCTAATTACTTTTAATTGTATCTTTATAAATTATTTCTAAGTCTTTTTGTACCTCTAGTCTGTAAGGTTTTGTAACCATAGACTTAAATAAATAAATATGAAATATGAAATATGATTCCAGCTAGTGCAACTAGTTCACCTAATTTTTCAATTTATTCCAAAGTTTTGACAGAAATGGCCACAGCAGAGCAAAAGAAATCTTTTATAAGCCTTTGTGCTGCGATTATTAGGGAAAATTATAGTGGGGATCCGTTAGCGCTCTAGTCGTTTTTAGATAAAATTAGTTTGATTGAGGACTTAGCTGAAGAAAATTTGACCAGTACATTAATGGCATTTTTGAAATCCAAGTTAGAGGGCAAAGCCCGCGAATCCATACCTACACAAATAAGTTCTATTAGTGACATAAAATCTGCTCTACGCAATAGAATCAAACCTGACAACTCGAAAGTTGTGGCAGGGAAAATAGCGGCGTTACACGTTAACAACAACAATTATTCAGACTTTGCCAAACGCGTTGAAGAATTATCCGATTCACTTGAGCGGTCGTTAATTATAGAAGGAATGACTCAAGAAAAGGCTCACGAAATGGCGATTGAGCAAACTGTTAACGTGTGTCGTTTAAACGCCAGGTCTGACTTAGTAAAATCAATTTTAGCTTCAACAAAATTTTCAGATTATAAAGACGTAGTTGCAAAACTAATTGTAGAGCAGAATAATGAGTTGAAGGACCGACAGGTTTTAACTTTTCGATCGCGTGGAATCAATACGTTTAGAAATTCACGTGGTAGCTATCGTGGGACTAACCCAACTCGCAATTTTACTGGTTATAGAAATAACAGGTCATTTTCTTCTTCTAATAATAATAACTTTAATAGTTATAGCAGTCAAAGATATCGATACGCTAACGGGAACCGCTATAATAATAACAACAATGGTTCACGGGTTAATTCCAACAACAACACCAATAGGAACAATAATGCACGAACAGCAAACGGTAGGAGTAGGAATGCAAATGTCCGTGCTTTAAACGCTCATGCCCCTCAGGAGCGAACACTGGAGGAGCAGGATTTAAACAACTAAACGATTTTTCTATAGCAAAAAGCATTCCAATTACAAGTTTCCGGGTCTAATAAGTTATGTACATTTTTGGTCGACACACAAGCCGACATTTCTTTAATAAAAATTTCAAGTATTTCCAAAAATTTTCCAATTGATACGAATGATATTATCCGCATAACGGGCGTTACTTCGAATACTGTTGCTACTCTGGGTAAAATAACGACAAATTTGACTTTTTCGGACTTTTTTATAAAACACACGCTACATGTGGTTAACGACTTTAATATTCCAGCAGACGGCATATTGGGTAAAGACTTTTTAAAATTCAATAAATGCGTTATCAGCTACGCAAGCAATTGCATTTCCTTCTGGGTAGGTAATAAAAAAGTCGCGATTCCGATTCTTCACGGAACTGAAAGCGATACCCGCGTAATTCCTCCCAGATGCGAAGTTTTTCGTCTTTTTAATTTAGGAAATTCACCAGAACCACTTTTTGTGGAATCACAAGAAATCAATAACGGTGTATTCACAGCACGATGCATAATTAGTACAAGCAACCCAATCGTCAAAGTCATAAATACTACATACGATATAAAATACGTAAAGAACTGTAACATCCGGACTGAAAAACTTTCTAATTTCAATGTTTATTCTATAAATAAGACAAGAAACGAAGACAACCGGACAAAAGAACTGATTAACGTTTTGAAAAAACAAATTCCTAGTTACGCTGAAAGCAAATTACTTAACTTGTGCGTAGATTACGGAGACATATTTACACTTCCCGATGACAAAATGACGTTAAATAACTTTTACGAACAAAAACTACGTTTGACAGACAATAACCCAGTTTACATTAAAAATTACCGATTACCATATTCCCAGCGTGAAGAAATAAATCGGCAGGTTAACAAGTTATTAGAAAATGAATTAATCGAAGAAATTTGTTCGAATTATAATAGTCCTTTAATTGTCGTTCCAAAAAAGATACTAATGGTAAAAAACAAAACAATTGATTGCTGATAAGTTCCCTCTTGCGCGAGTAGACGACATTCTAGATAACCTTGGCCGAGCAAAATATTTCTCAACCTTTGACCTTTTTTCAGGGTTTCATCAAATCCCTTTACATATTGATTCACGTGACGTAACCTCTTTCAGTACGGACCGAAGAGCTTTTAGATGGAAAGTATTGCCGTTTGGGTTAAATGTCGCACCAAATTCATTTCTGCGTATGATGACAATCGCTTTTTCCGGTATTCCGCCCAATGTGGCATTTCTGTACGTTGACGATATAATCGTTATTGGATGTAGTGAATGACTTACCAATATGTTTCGCTTCGAAATCTTTCAACAAAGCAGAACAGAATAAACCGATCATCGAACTAGAACTTTTAGCTACATATATATTTTGCGATCAAGCAGTTTCGACCGTATGTTTACGGAACTCACTTTACGGTGAAATCTGACCATCGACCCTTAGTTTATCTCTTCAACATGAAGGACCCATCGTCAAGGCTTGCTAGAATACGCTTAGAACTGTCAGAATACGACTTTACAATTGAATATATAAAAGGAAAATCGAATGTAGGAGCGGACGCATTGTCACGGATTACAATGAATGAACTAAAAGACTCAACTAAACAAGTACTAGCGGTAAAAACAAGATCAATGACGAATAAAACACAATTAAAGTACGATAGTGAATGCAATGACAAAATTAAATTACAGGTTTATGACAAATTTTCATATGATTTCTCAAAGAAAATACCCCGGGTGAAAACAAATATAATATATGATAAAAATAATAAAATTTCAAATTTTCAAGTTTGTGCACATTTAAAACACAAAAAACTCGAGTTACTTAATTTTACGATTGTTAACGAAAAAACGAATTTCGATGAGTTACTTTCGCGGCTTGAAGTCGAAGCCAACAGTCGTAATATTAAGGCATTAGAATGGCCTAAAGAGGATTTATTTTTCCAATATTTTACAATTACGAACTTAAAAAACCGCGGAAATAAAATTTTAAAGAACTTACATATTATATTGACGGATCCAGTCGAAACTGTGACTGACGACGAAAAGAAACACCAATAAGTGGAGAACATTGTGGACTCAAAAGATTATATGCAAAAATCCGTAAAAAATATTGTTGGAAAAATATGGCCCGCGATATATCAAAATTTGTCAAGAATTGCAAGAAATGCTTACTAAACAAGCCAAAACCAAAAACAAAAGAAACCCTTGTTTTAACGCCAACACCTATCAAACCTTTTGAAATAGTGATAATTGATACAATAGGGCCTTTGCCAGAGTCAACAAGCGGTAACAAGTTCGCTGTTACTATGATTTGTGATCTGACAAAGTATCTGGTAACCGTTGCTGTTCCAGATAAAAGCGCCAAAACTATAGCCTCGTGCTATTTTTGAAAGTCACATACTAGTATACGGCATAATGAATTCAATCAGATCAGATTTAGGAACTGAATATAAAAAAGAAATATTTTCGGAACTATCAAAACTCTTAAAGATTGATCATAACTTTTTGACTGCACACCATCACGAAACAGTAGGCACAATTGAGCTAAATCATCGCGTTTTCAATGAATACTTACGTACATACCTAAATGAGACTATTTCAGACTGGGACACTTATCTTAAGTATTTTACCTTTTTGCATAATACTACTCCAAATTCTGTTTTTGACAACAAATTTACTCCATTCGAACTAGTTTTCGGAAAAACACCGACTTTACCGCAAGAATTTAAAAGGGAAAAAATGTATCCCATTTATAATGTTGAGAATTATGCAAAAGAGGTTAAATACCGGATGCAAAATTCACATGCAATAGCCAAAGAATTAATTAACAAACATAAAATCC